ATTCCTGCTTTTACTTTTGATGTTTTTACACGTAGTTACAACTTGTTTCTTATTTTAAGTGTGCACCATCCTGCTTTTACTTTTGTTGTTTATATTATAATTTTATTGCTCAATTTTATTATTTGTACTTGTGTTTCTTAGCACTAATTTTATTAATGCATTTCTTTCTATTACATATGACTTCATCTTAGTAGTGAAGATCGGCCACCTCACTAAACTCCTCTTCATGGCCTTAATACTTACAGAAGGATAAAGAAGTTAGTATCCTGCTCTATCTCATCTAGTACTAATGTTGTGTTGATTAGCAGCACCACCACCATTGCAACCCCTCCAATACATTTTGTCATCGCTCTAAATAGGACTGCTGCTTCTTTTCGACCACTTACTCCTACAAAGATTATCATCTCCCACCTTTTTTTCTGAGCACTCAGCCACAATTTCCCTCCTACGATGAGCTGGGTACTTTTACTCTTGCCAGTGTGAGGCAGGACACATCCAGACGGGTATATATTGAGTTGACGGGAGACTCATTAGTTACCTTTCGTGTTATAATTTAATGATTTTTTAATATATTTTGTGTAACTAATTTGTCTATTTCAGATTATAAAACTCCAGGCTGCCCATCACGCATATCACAAAAATCAAGGGGTAGATACAATTATCCATATCTCTTTTTGAAGCAGATACCAATCGAAACTCAGGACATGTGGTTTATGGAGTTTGAATTAGAATTAATTAATTTGAATTTAAATTATAATTTCAAGTTATTTTTTTATACTAATAAATATTGAATAATTTATATTTTGCAGAGGTCCTTCCACTGGCTACATGAGCATCAACAACACATCTGACATATTTTTTAGATTCGGGGCAGACATCAGTCGATATATTCACCTCAGCCTATAGGAAGGGGGAGCAACCTATCTGGGAATGAGGCTTGTATGCAGTTGACCAGAGCCCAACTCTCTCTTGATTAACATAAGAAGAGGGTAATAAACAAGCAAAACATTAGGAGCAAAGGAGCTAGGGGCGCCGCGGTCAACATTGGAGGATGGGTCCCGTACAAAAACAAGCAAAACATTAGGAGCAAAGGAGCTAGGGGTGCCGCGGTCAACATTGGAGGATGGGTCCCGTACAAAGAGTATTACCAAAAGTTGGTAAGATTCACTAAATACTCAAAAATTAAATGTTGTAATCATTTGATACTAATTATTTTTTTATGCCCATACCGTCCACCACTGTAGAGTTGCATCTCCGGACATATCAATGCTTGGGGAAGCAAGAATGGGTCTCCGACCTTTCTCGACTTCTTAATATATAAGTAAAAATGATTTTCTATAATTTTCTTACATTATTAATGTAGATTGACAGTCAATCCTTGACTTTAATTATATAAGAGGAGTGCTGTCACATTCGAGACAAGCAGAATCAAAGGCAGAGCTAGAGCCTAACAACTGCTAGTAATAATGTTAGTTAGTGTACTACTAAGCAGTTTGAATTTGAGAAGTGGAAGCAAGCAGTAAGGAAGAACAAGGGGAGGGAGCAAGGCTTGGGCACAAAGGGCATTACATTTAAGGTCGAGCACAACAGAACTACTCAGAGTGGTCCGAGGTTATTAACATTGGAGCATGATGAAATTGCTCGATATGTCACTGCTATGACAGAGGAGCTCTGTCAACTACATGAGGGCGAAGCAAGAGTTAAGGATATTATAACACGACTAACTGAGCAATTTGCAGATTATCGTGACAATGACTTCTGTTTTTGCTGGTTGATGAGGAGGGAGAGGAGATAGAAGATGATGAGTTTGTTGTTGATACCCAACAGGGGTTTATATATTTTTTTCTTGTTGAGTTTGTAGACACATTATTCTTTTGTTTAGATATACACTTTTATGGATTTTGATTATTATTTTTAAATTCTATTTATTTTAACCATTAATACTTTTTTGTTTAGATATACACATTATTCTCTTTTTGAACCATTAATATATTATGTGTTGTGTTGGTGTTAAGTAAATGTTTGTGATATTCGTTGTGTAGGTTGCAAGAATATTATTGTTATTTTATATATTTTTTAAAATTTGCTACAAATTTGCTTTGACATTGCGTCGAACATTGTCAATTCTAATACCTTTGATACATTTTGACGCTAATCAACCTCTCCGATAAATAGTGGACACAAATAATAGACAAAGAGTAGGCGAAAATTCCATAGTTAATATCTACGCCGACGTGATTAGTCACGACGAAGATGGCTAACGTCAAAAATGTCTGATGCTAATGTCGACGCAAGTTGTTTGCGTCGGACACGTTTGATTCTAATTGAATTTGTGACGTGCGTTTTTTTGTGAATTATATATCCTACACAAATATGCCACTAAAATTCTTCTGTATCAGATTATTGTAATATTAGCATTGGAATTGGCCGACACTAATTTGACTAAATCCTATAGTGTTCATTACTTGAAAGCCACTCCTGGATAAAGTTTGTATTTTTTTACCATCTTCATCAAATTAACTTAAGGTTTTCTCTAATGCATATTGAGGAGCATGCACTCTTATGCTTAAATCTGTCATCAACTTCTTCATTTTCTTGGGTGATTCTTTGATATCTTGAAATGTAAAATTAAAGTGACAAACCAAGTTAAAGCGGCTAACTCGAATTCTAAATTTATTTCAAGACCTTGAGCGAGCCAACACAGATAACTCAAAAGCTAAAGGATTTTGGCATCACTTCATCATATCCATCCCTTCTCTTTTTGAACAATAAAGCCACATTCACATAGCAACAAATCCTACTTCTCATGAATGAACCAAAACACATCAAAAGTGATTGCAATTTTCTATGAGAAAAAGTCACATATGGATCTATTAAATTCAACCCAATTCAATCTAAACATTAGCTAATCGACATTTTCCCAATGTCATTAGCCATAGTTAACATTATCACTACTATTGTCCAAGATAAGTGTTCAAAACATATACATTCCATCTTAAGGGGGACTATTATACCATTAATTTTTCTTCTTCTATGGCTTCTGATTCTTGTTTTTACTACCCATTGTATAAATTAAAAATAGTCAGAGTGCACTTTTGCTATCTTGACAAAGAGAACAGGACTATAGACTTTTTTGTTGCCTTCCTCTTATTGAGAATGCGAATTATTTATAATCGATTGCAAAAGCTATTTGAGATGAAGATTAAAGTGTTCATCTTAGCAATGCATTTTAGATTGCTTATTACTTGTTGTTATGGTGACAAACACTAATTTACAATCATTTAGCCTATATCAAAATGAAGCATTGTAGTGACCTTTTGTCTATGATATTTAGATAAACTATTTTTCATATTATTCAAGCATATATATGACTGCATTTGATTGCAATACTTCTCCATCGATAACACAACTTGACATCTAAAAGTGTAATCTTAATATCCATTTTTTTAGCCAAAAAATTATTTCAGCTATATACTTAAATATAGTTAACACTATCTTAAATAAAAACAAAATATTTTTACAATATGTTGCCATTGAAGGAGGATATTGTAAACATTCATTAATGAGTGAAAATTTTCTCATATCTAAATCCTTAAAACAAAGCTTCCCAAACCAACAAAATAATGTTTCACACAATTCAATAAATTTTCTTTTGTGATATATATATATATATATTAAGATTCAAAGGCTTATATATATATATATATATATATATATGGATGCATTTATTTTAAGAATATCTTTCATAAATTTGAAATAAAGATACAAAAGAATCAACTATAACAATTTGATAAATGATGTTGAATTTATTCATTCAAAATAAATAAATAAGATACTTTTAACCCCTCTTCAACCCATAACAAACACTATGAAAACAACAAATTATTTATGTATATAACAACATCCAATTGCACTGATATGTACATTTCTACATTAATGACCACCTACATGAAATTTACTTACTCCCTTTATTAAATTATCTAAATGCATGACCATTAAAAGTATATATCATTATTCATCTCCTCTAGGGAAAAACCTAGTTGTTCCAAGCTTACAATGCCATTGCAATCCATTAAATTTTGTATAAAGTTTGAGTCGTGATCATTTTTCTTGCATGGAGAAGTGGATAAGGAGCACCAATTCATTTCTTGAGAGCCTAGAGGTAGTTGGTCACTAGAAAAAGTAGGGGATAAGTACTCCAAAGTTGGCGAGGTTGTATTATTGTAGCCATTCATTGCACTTTCCTTCACCCCTTCCACTTTCCTTTTGTGAAATACTCTACAAAGGACCCAATCCTCCTGCCATGCATCCATGTAAAAAATTATAATTTAAAAAAAAAAAAACTATATTTTTGGGATTTTGGGCACTTACATACATACCGCCTAACTTCTAACGTATTTAATATTTAACACTTAAAACTTTACTTCTTTTTCTAATTTTTTTATTTTTACATTTGTAGTATCAATATCTTTCATATTGCTTCAAAAAATATCACTATTTTTAACTTTAAAAAATGAAATACACATTTTCATATGCATGGGTTAAGTAACATATATGTAAAAATTAAAATTTAGATGGTCAGATATGTAAACACATAGGAACTGACTGGTATGTATGTAAATTTTCTTTTTTTTAAAATTAGTTAAAGTAAAATGTAGGGCAAATTTTAGTTGTCAATAATAATTGATTTATATATACTTTTCAAAATAGATAGTAATGAAAGAGCTCCATATGTGTAATTAATTCTCATAAAAGTAATGTATGCATATCATATTATTTTATAACATAGAAAATATGTTATATATAATGCTTGAGACAAAATATGTTATATATTGAAAAATTGGATAATTACATGTACAACACTTGAGACATTGCTATTTACAAATCTAGCTCACAAGAGGCTTTCTTGAAAAGTATGAGTTGAGTTTTTATCATGAATTTTGATATTGGAGACAGAGTTTGTAAGATGGATGATATATGGTGCTGGATTTATAAATATCAATGTTTCGGGTCTATGTATTTAATTGCCCCAAAAAAAGCAATAAAATAAAATAATAATTTAATTAAATTTACTATTTTCTAAAATAAGTTTAATTTGAAGTTAAATAATATATTTATAAAGTTAAACAATTAGATTTCATTTATTTAGAACTTAAAAATACATTTCTTAAAATAAGAAATATATCATTAGTTATTTAATTTTATGCATTTAAAAATTAATTGTTTAAAAATTTATGCATTTAAACAAGAAAATATTTTCTCTCTCAAAAGAAATAAAAATGAAATTATTACATTAATCTATAAGCATGTAAATATCTAATTAATGCTGAACCAAAATGAAAGACAGTGAGAAATCATAAGATATGTGATTATTGCAATGATTTTCTTTTATTATTATTATTTTCTAAAATCTATATTCTATTTATAAACAACCAAAATAAAGTCTTAAATATATGTTTGGGGCATTAACATACATACACCCATTTCATATGTATTTACATATCTAAAACTTTATATTTTACATTTATATCACTTAAATATTTCATATAACATAGTGAATTATGCATGTAGCAACCAAAATAAAGTCTTAAATATATGTTTGGGGCATTTACATACATACACCCAATTCATATGTATTTACATATCTAAGAACTTTATATTTATCATTTATATCACTTAAATATGTCATATAACATAGTGAATTATGTATGTAAAAGTTAAAGTTTAGGTCTTAGCAATGTAAATACAAAAGAATTAAATGGTAATTATGCAAATTGTTTTATTACAAAAAGAAGCACAATGCAAAGAGTAGTAAATTGCATAATTGAACAAACCTTAGGTGGAGAATGGGGAGTCTCAAGGCGAAATTCATGCATGACCCAATTAGTCTTCAAGCCATTTGGCGCTCTACCATGATAGAACACTAAGGTCTTTCTCATCCCGACCGTCGAATGTGTACGATGATTGTGGACCGTTCGATCCTTCCCTGTAGCCTTCCAGTAACCAGATCTTGTTGCCCTATTTGTTCTTGATCCCGTCGCGTATTTTCGATCACGAAAACTGAAGAAATACCACTCATTTGGACTCAGCTTAGCCATCTCTGCAAAAAAAAAAATTGTTTTTGTAATAAGTTACCTACATAAAACTGAAACATCTCATGAACTGCAGATGATTAGAAGGATGGATTGGAATGTTGTGATGAAGATGATGACAAGTATTATTCAAAGTATAAAGAAAATAAATAAAAAATAATAATTTTAGCTTGAACATTATATAATAAACTCAATAAATAACTAATTACATAAGGCTAATTATATATAATAAGTAATTAATGAATCATTAAGATAAGTACTTTCTTATTAATTTTGAGTTATTATATCTTATTTAAATGATATAATATGTCTGTCAGCAAGCTCTTGATATAAATATATTTCATGAAAAACATTGATCAGGACAAGCCTTAAAATAAGCAGGTAATTAATTCTTTTTTAATTATTTACAGTTGAAGCACAAATTCAATAAACTTATTGACAAATATAATTTTCATGGAATTACATCATAAAAGAAAATTACATAAATACCCTAAAATTTTCATTGAGGAAGAAGCAGAGAGGGAAGAGATGTTACCAGGGAGCTCCCATGGCTCAAGTGCATGCAAATCAACCTCCACAAGTGTTCCCTCTGAGACTTTTTCATTTACCACCTTCTTATGAAGATAATGGCAGATCAGCTCCTCATCACTTGGATGGAACCTGAAACCTGGAGGCAAAGTGGACTCTACTTCCCTTAATCCCATATCTCTTAGCTGAAGTGATAGAGATAGAGATAGAGATAGAGAGAGAGAGAGAGACAGAGAATTCTAGAGAGGCAGAGGATATCTCTTAGCTGAAGTGATAGAGATAGAGATAGAAAGAGAGAGAGAGAGAGAGAATCTCAGCTTTTGTGTCCTGTACAAAAGGATAGAGCAATAATATGAGTATATATAGGAGGAGAGGAGAAGCCATGAAAGCTGTCTGCAAGTTAGGCAGTACAGTGCTGACAATCCATGGGAAGATGTAGCTGAGATCTCAATTGGTTTCTCTGTCAATGAAAAATCATTCAAAAAAAATGTTGATCTCAATTGGTTTCTCTGTCAATGAAAAATCATTAAAAAAAATGTTTTTTTTTGGTATTTTAAAACTATTTTGAGAAGCTAAGACAATAATATTATGTCAATTTACAAACTTTAAACAACTAAATGATCATAAGAAGAAGACAGAAGATGGACATGGTCACAAGTAACCTACAAATCACTTGGATGCTTGTGTGTGAAAAACTGAAAAAAGGAATATTTTTTAGGTAATGATAATTTTATTTTAGGGATTTTTTTTAAGCATGAAAAAGGAATTTTTATAATTTATTATGATTTTTATGACATAATTATGTTTTCTAAATTCAAACAATTAAATGAACCTAAGAAGAAGACAGAAGTTGGGCAGGGTTGCAAGTAACCTTGGAATAGGGTAGCAAGCTGACCTCAACCTGTCAAGTTTTCTTAATGCAAAGGCCTACATAGCTTCATGACATCAAGTTTGTTATTCCATGCATGTATGTTTAGATTTTTCTTCTCTTTTTTCTTATAATAATAATGATAATATGAATGTTTAGATTGCATAATTGTCATCATAAAGGTTGGTAACATGCTGGCAACCTAATATAAGTGCCTAAATTGAGATGGGTGAATGATATATTATTTCATTGTCAAAAGTCTAATTTCATCATTATTTGTGGGATCTTTACTTACACCATTTGAGAAAGAGTGGAGATAAAAACTAATTTTGAGAGAGTAAAAAATGGGAGGAGGCAGGCTTCTTTAATGTCGGGAAGTCCCTCTTGCATTATAATGTTTACCTCTATTTATAGAAGATAGAGGATCGTTACAAAATGGTGCATTTATTATACATGAATCTCAATATATTGTCACGACATGAATTAAACATATTTGCGTCGGCTAGATCAGAAACAAATCCAATGATATTTAAAGATTAGAGTTGGATTTGAGTCTGATTTTTTTCGATTTTAAATTAAGGTCAGTAATTTTATTTTCGTCTAATTTACATTGAAATATTTCGACACAAATACTTTACGTGGGCTTTTGCGTTGTATTAGCGTCGGATTCGTTTATACGTAATGTGCGTCAAAATTTACATTTGAAAATATCGTACAATAAATATTAGCGTTGGATTACCGTCTCATTTGCGTCGGAATAAACCGTCAACCGATGAAATATTATTATCGATATAGCGTCGAGTTTTGCATCTAAAAACTGATGCAAATTTGACACAAACTTGTAATAAAGAAAAAAAATTTAGAATACCAATTACTTTTTCACAACTTGCACAAAAACACATTTCACATTAAATATACTCTTATCACAAAAAAAAATCTAAATAATATCATTAATAAAAGGAAGATATTATCACAAATCATCCTAATTAAGAATAATAAAATTAATCTAAAAGTTTTCACAATAAATTTTTAACCTAATATTTACAAATAAAATAAAACATTAAAAAACTACTCAACATAAAAAAATTGATAATTTTTCCTCATAAATCCCACCCCTAAAATATAATTAACCTTTTAGGAGAGATGTTCTTTAATAATGGTTCATCTCTTAGGAGAGTTCTTTTGATGTTGATATTTTAATTAACAGCTCATGCAGCTTCCAACTCTGACATTTAAGATCTACGAACATTAATACAATTTATGCAGCTCTCAACTCCTGCCTCTTGGCTTAAGAATATTATCAAAACTCATGTAACTCCCAACTCCGGCCTCTTTAGCTTACAAACGTCATCACATCTCATGCATCTCCCAACTTTGGCCTCTATGACCTACAGACTTTACGATAACTCTTGCAACTCGTAAGTGTGACCTTTGTGGTTTACGTATGAACGTTATCATAGCTCATACAACTTTTTGACTTTGGACTATGGCTTAGAGATGTTATCAAAACTCATGCAACTCCAAATTTCGATCTATGCGACATACATACATTATTACAGCTCATACAGCTCCTAACTTTGACCTCTATGATCTATGAACATTATCACAGTTCATGCAACTCCCAACTTCAGTCTCTGTGTCCAAAATATGGAAATTATTACAACTCTCCTCTATGGCTTATGTGACAAACTACAACCTACACAGCTCACAACTCACGCAAATTTTAATTCCGATCTAAACAGCTCAATGCTCACGTGAGTCCCAAAACTTTGACCTCTACGACCCACATACATTATTGGAGCTCCCTACTACTGCCATTACTATGGTCAATCGACACTCCGAAATCCATCATCCACAACCGACATTGCAATCTACTATCATGACTTTCAATTACGACCTCTATGATAAGCTGACGCTACAGCCACCAAGAGTCGCGATATATTACCGCCTCCATAGTATATCACAACTTTTACAGCTCTCTACGGCTATTATTGCTAAAATATTATTGCATTTCAACTTTGTAATTCCATCTTACCTAACTCATGAGAAGAGTGAGCATGTGTACTCACCATTACATAGTGAATTTTTTCAATGAGATTAGGCCCCATAGTTTTTTCCCTTCCAAGATTTTCTACTTAAAAATTTATTGTCTCTATCTATCACTTTTTTTATTTAAACTTGTCACTTTAATTATCTGAGTGTGTTGTATTTTCGTGCAACTCTAAAATGCTAAATAATCAATCTACGTCTGTGAATCCTCTGACATGCATCAATTATAATACTGCATCACGTTTTACACATATCAATATGTCAACACTCTATCACATCAAACTATAAAAATGTAAAATAATTTTAAAAATAAATTGATTTAAATGAATCACCACCTAAATCATTTAATGCTATATTATTTAAAAATAGTATAAAAAATATTTTATTTGAAGGAATGAACTCGTTCTCTTCCCCCTCAACAAGGAATTATGCTTTGGTGTGAATGTGAAGGCTGAATAATCACTGAGAGGTCATTGCACCATTCTTTATAAGTATTACTTTGACTGATTTCGTATGGCTTTACTAATTATTCTAACTTAATTTTTATCATAATAATTTAAAAAATTAATCTTGTAAATTTATTATGAAATTATTTTGTTCATCACATATAAATATTTTAATATTTTATAATTTTAATACATATACATATATATATATATATATATATAT